AAATAAAAGAAAGCAAAAAAAAAAAAATTCCGTGCGCCAGTCTTTTGTTTAAGTAATAGGTTGTCAAAGAAGTCTTGCGGTATTTTTATTGAATTTTCAATTGTTCATAAAATTTTTTTTTGATGACTCATGCCCAGCTCTTGACCGATGCTACGGCTGCTACTATGCCAGTCTCTCTCGACCAATTCAGCGATTTTATCGCAATTTTCGGCGCATCTTCGACCACCTCTACACCAGAACGAAAACGTCGAAACCATCGTTGTACGGTGAGAATGGAAACTGTATCGGGTCCATAAACTGCACAAATTTTTTTGGCGGCCTGAAATGCATTCTTGCCTTTATCGTAGTAGTACTGTAAAATATGACGTATTTTCTTTTTATTTTGCTCCATGTTTGCGACGCTATAACTCACAAATGACTTAAAAGAAACGACAATCAATCAAACACGCGTTAGCGCGTGAAATGAGCTTTCCAAAAAGGTATACATAGCATGACCCGATGCGACGAATAAAACTAGAACTACGCGCTCTTAGCGCCAACTAGAAAATACCGCAAGACTTATTTGACAACCTAATACTTGTAATCGAAAAAAAAGTAGTACTTCATCCATGCCTTTAAGGATTGTAGCTCAAAGACCAGTGTATAATTTTATGCAGATCGATGAAAGAGTTCTCGAGAAATCTTGCCAACAGACTTCAAAACCACAGTTTTGAGAAAAACGCATTGCACAAAGAATGTAAAAATAAGCTGCAAAAGCATAACAAGACACAAAAAAGCGAATAATATCTAATGCGGCGAAGCAATAATTTTGACTTTAAACGAAATTCTCATTTGTGAAAAATACCAAATTGCAATATGAATGAATGCAAGTCAATTTTTGTTTCCAAGAATTGCTTTTGGCTGGTTGCATCTTTATTTCATATTCATAGCACTCCAGCATGGCCACCTAAATTAGAGCAGAGTAGAGGGCGTGCATTGGGCGGCCTCTGATTGCACCTGGCCACCATTCGCTAATTCGCAAATAGATGTTCTTCGTTTTCTGCATTTCATGAGAATTTATTACAGGTGTTTCTGGAAATATTTGAGTTTAGAAAAGTTTTATTACTTTCGTGTGGTGGGTGGGGATGAATGTTTTTTGTGAACATGAGTGTTTGTGTTTTTCCGGCATATTGTTTTTTTCTGAACGACGAAAGTAGTTTTCTGAAAATGAGGGGAATTGAGGCAACTTATGGGCATCTGCGTTCTCTACATTACTTACGTGATTGAGTTATATATATATATATATATATATATATATGTACCATACATATATGTACTCATACAAATGCGTTTGAGTACGTGTCTACAATAACACAAATAATCGTACACAACTGCTATTTATATATGTACCATACATATATGTATGTAAAACCTCAGTTTTTGTTTTTTTTTGTCATAATTTAATTTGAATGCATACTCGTGCCTCATAACTTGTTGTCGTCACTACGCGTTGCATATAACTACATACTATGTTGTTAAATAAATGCGTGAAATCCACGTTTTAGTTTGTTTTTTGGTACTGAGCAACTTGTTATAAAAAACATTTGCTGCAGCAACATTTCACTGCTCTGAGCATAGCACTTATTGTTAATTTTTGCACCGAAATGCTCAGCTGGGCATAAAAGCGCCTGCGCCGCAAAGTATGCTCCGAAATGTGGTCGTGCTCAGCGACACGACTGCCCGCCTGTAGCGCTTCACTGTTAAGTTGTGTCGGTGCTGCCATCGTTGTGTCGTGCTACGCTCGGTCTTTCCGAACGTCGACTGCACTTAAATCGCTCTTTTGCAGCACCAATATATTCAGTAGTCTGGTGTAAGTGCTCGCAAAAGGACGGTCAAGTGTTTCCAGCGCGGAAAGTTCATATTTATTAGTCGCCGTGCTTTCACACAATAGGGAGAATGCAATTCAAAATGAAGCCAAAGGTAATGTTTTGTTGGCCACACGATTTGTGAGTTCAGTGGCTAGCCGTGACTGTGTCTGCTAACTCATTGCTGACAAGTGCTTATGCGCGTGTGTGTGTGTAAATTGAATTGATGTGAAATTTAAGCTGTCATGCTGGCACAAATTATGCTGAAAGTGGCACAATGAAATTATAAGCTGTAAAGCTGTTTGTTAAAGTGTCAGCTGTTGTTAGTAATTCTGCACTTGTCAAGGAAATGCTCGGCATAATGTCATTTCCTTTAAGCGGAAGTCATAAGTTTCAAGTGAAATGTGCCGCGGAGCAAGTTATATGAAGTTATAAATATACTTCCGCCAATATTATTGCAAGTGAAGTGTGAGAGTGTGTGCCAGCGACTTGTATATTGAAAGTGAAAAAAATTCAAAAAAAAAGGGCGTTAAATGAATACAAACAGAGGTGTCAAAGCAATTGCAGTGTAGTGCACGTTCATCTAGCTTTTGAACCATCAAGCAGTGTTTAATGAAATAAAAATATTTTAAAAAATATCAGAGCGCCTTGAAGCCAGTTGGCTGTGGATCACAGTGCAGTGTTTGAGCCGAAAGTTAAAAAAAAAAAAAAAATCTTAAGTAAAGCACACAGCAAGCGGGCCAAGCGCAGTTTGCACAGTTCAACAAATCTGCGATTCCGTTATTAGTATCCGAGTCCTGTGTGCACCACGTGCGCTGAAGAAGCATGGTCTAACGCAGATATGCTTAAACAGTTGTAATATTAATTGTTGTGATTGTAGTGCGCTCGAAGCCGACATAATTGTTGCGCAAACCAAACACAGACAAGCGATTCGAACACGCAATCACTAAACTATATATATTTTTATACAAATGCAGAAGTAAATCCTTACATATACTATATACCATATAAATACATATAAGCACGCACTTGTACACTTAAGCCAGTGCATGTTAACAACTTGTGTATGCTTGTTTGTTGTATGGCGCGCAGGCAGCGCCACGCAGGTTTGTTATCGCTCCATCGAATCGGCAAGTGTTTGCATGTGCATGTGAGAAGAAAACCACAGCGCGTGTGTGTGTGTGTGCGTGTGTTGAAGGCCATTGCAGCAAGCTGCGATTCGTGTCAACGACAGTGAAGCTGCGTAAGCACGCGTTCGTGCAAAGCCTTCGAAGGGCTCAGCTGCAACAGTAACAACAACAAAAACAGCTGTAAAAACAACAACAACAATAGTAACAACAACAACAATAACGAGCACGGGCGTCAACTATCCGCCGTCAATCGCGTTTGCGGCTGAGTTGGGTAACGTCCTTCAAGCGCTGTCATTCTCACAAACAACAACAAGCCATTTCTGACAGCAATTGTCATCGCTAATAACCAGCGCAGCAACCACGCTGCAAGTGGCGCCGTTGGTGTGCTGTTTTTCGTCAGACAATTTATTTATTTATTTTTTTTTTTTAATTTTCGTAAATCTTCTTTGGCTATCGACGGCGCGACGCTGAGCTTTCGACTGTCGCCTCGTTGGGGCGCGCTGTCGTCGTGAGTGTCGTCATTTTGGTAATTGCGACAGCCTTTCGCAGGCGTCGTAGCAGTAGCGGCAGACAAGCGAGCAAGCGCAAGTAGCAAACAAACAAGTAAAAAAATATTGCATATAACGGAATTTCACATGAAATGTTGCTGGAATACGTAATGATGCTGCTTGTGTTCGGATTAACCACAAACGTTGAGCGAAGTCAAAGCAACGCATACGGTAAGCATAGCTATAAGTATGTCTATGTAGTGTCTATGTATGTATATACATAAATACATATATGTGTGTGTGTATACGTTTGTATGTGTGTATTTTGTTTATATGAGTAAATTTGTGCTTTTATGAGTGAAGTTAGGGCGACCGCCAGCTTTGTGGCACCAACTTGCTTGCGCGGTTGTCGCCATATACCTGTTTATCAGCTTACATCTAACATCATACACACACACATACTTAAATGTACGCTAAGTATATGCTCTCAATATTAAACTGGGATACTTGTTTATGTATTAGAGGCGTGTATAAGCTATGCTGAAAAATTTCAATGACTTTCACAAATTAATTCTCGCTTTATACTTTATATTTAATGACATGCAAAACAAAATTACAAATTTTTCCTGGTTGCTGGCGGCTTAGGCGTGTCATCCATAGCACGAAGTAAACATGGGCTTTAGTATATAGCATTACGACAAAAATTTTTTCCATGCTGAAATTTATAGTACCTATATCAAAAAAAAAAAAAAAAAAAAAAAACAAAAAAAAAAAAAAAAATTTCTTTTAGCAATAACCTTAAGAAAATACTTTTTGCACTTATAAGAAATTGCATTTACTTTACTTCAAATAAAGTAATGATTGTTGCTTAGTAAGCGAGGCAAAATGGTACTTCCTATAGGTGCATACTGAATACTTCATAAAAAGCTAGTTACGCGAAAATAACGCATAATTAAAGATTTCGGCTTTACAAGTGATGGATCGTTTTCCTTTTGTTTGGTTACTTAAATTGTTTTTATTTAAATATGTAATTATATGTGTTAGTAAAATGGGTATACATTAAATGAGCGCAAAATGTTGATATGAAGCAATATTTTATATAAAATTTTTATAATAATAATAATTTTTATAATAATACTATATCTTTATTATACTTTCAATAGGTTATTTAATTGGTTATAAATCGGTTAATAATCAGTTATTTTATTTGTTATTATTTGGTTATTTGATTGGTTATAAATCGGTTAGTAATCAGTTATTTTATTTGGTTGTTTAATTAGTTCTGAATTGGTTATTAATTAAATACACGTAGTCATAAACTGTGGTAAAGGAATAAAGAGTGAAATATCTAATTTTGTAGGTCTTATAAGGTAACTGCTATATTAATGAAACAGGAAAAACGTTAACTTCGACTGCATAAAATCATTAATACCCTTCACAAGCACGTTTCTTTTAAGATCAACGGTATCAAAATATCTTCATCTTGATATTGAACGTGCAATTTGTATGGCAACTATACGCTAAATATGCGCGATCTTACCAATTTCTGCGGAGAATGTAGCTTGAATGTGGAAAAGAATACATGCCAAATTCCATGAAGCTATCTAGTCAAATAAAAAAATTTTCCATACAAGGACTGAATTTTTATCGAACAGTTTTTTTGAAGGGTTCCAACAAATGAGCTGCTTTTTAGGAAGAAAAGAAGATGTGCCATATTTCAGATCGATACCTCAAAAACTTAGGAATTAGTGCGCGTATATTGAGACAAACAAACCAACCTTCCTAAATCGACTCATCTCATCATGCTGTTTGTTTATATTATATAATATACTATTATAAAACCTCCTTTGCATTTTGGGCTTCTGCGCTTTACAAACTTCGTGGTAAACTTGATTTATGCTGTTTGAGATATAAAAAATAATTTTTTTATATGCATATGTACTAAGTAGTACATAAATATGTGTACAAAAATATATATGTGTGTTGAAATTATTTACGAAACTCTAACTTTAAACTCCTTACATGAAATTTACATATATGCATTTGCGATCTGTGAAGTCATAAAACACTTCACATGTGTATTCAAATGGAATAAGTACGCACCCGTTTACAGTAAGAGGCTTTGAACATTACACGGACAGTAAATGCAAATATTTAAACTGTATGAACAATTTACCAAAAATTCCCAAAATAATAGTGGAATAGTTGAAAGCAAAGTTTGTTTTAGACTTTGCGCAAATATTTATGCATACGTGTGTAATAAGTATATGTCTGCGCAGTGTGTACCTTCATACTGACCGCCAGCAAAATCTGTACAATATCAATGGCGGGAAAAATAAGGCCACAATAAGCCAGTGGTCGCCTGTGGCGCTTTTGACCCAGATGTTTATTCTTTTTGTTTATTTCAAAAGTTTATGAGTTGAACATATGTATACATATACAGCAACTTAAATCGTTGGACTTACATATATTACTTGGCTAGCGCCATTATTTCATTAGTGTGAAACTTTCATCAGCGTTAATCGAAATTCCGGAGATTCAAGAACGGAAGCGAGCTAACCATTGTTGTACTAAACAAACTGATACAGCATCGTCTCCGTAAACTTCACAAATTGGTGGCTTTTGTGGCATTCTACCCTTTCTTATACAAAAATTTCGAAATATATCCAATTTCTTCGTTATTTTCACACATTTTTGAACAGCTGTAATTATTTTTCAATTTCAATTTCATCGAATTAAATTTTTTTTTAATTTTTTTTTTAATTAAATGGTGCTTAAAAACTCACTTTATCAACACTATATGGTATGATACAATGTGTTAGGTAGAACTGGAGATATACGACTGCAACGACATCTATTAACAAAATACGAAAAGACTTTTTCGACTAGCAAATATATGACGTCTCTAACAATATAGGTGTGTGGCATTAATTTATGTTAATAATATTCTGATTTGAAAATAGAAATGTTAAGTTTGACTGTTTATATTAAGTAAACGAACGGAAGCAAAGTAATCTTAGAAGGCAACAGCCTATGAATCCAATTTTTGGCTTAAAATTGACACTATTTTTATTTTATTTTATTTTATTTT